CTGGATATTTTATTTCGGCGGCCGGCTGGTATTTTTTGGTAAAACTGGCCTCAGATCTGGGGACGTTGACTTCGGAGCTGTTGTTGAATGAGCTGTTTGCGAGATCGTTGACGGAAAGCCCGTGCCTTCGATAGAGGGACCACTTACGTAATAAAAGCACACTTTGCTAAACAACGAGTGAGTGGACTTATAAAAAAATCACTGCAAAAAAAGATTGACCCACCTGTGAAGGATTTAGGCGCATAGGTATCTGTACAATAACTGGAACGGACTTTGTAAATCATATTCACAGCATGCTGTGTAAATCCCAGGAGTTTGCATACTCTTCGGCTAGCAGTGGTCTTTCAAATGTCGAGATGAAATGGTGTTGCCACGCTGGTGCAAATGTTACTCTGGTTTGATTATGACACTATTGTGGGACGTTGGTGCTGCATGACATTAGCATCGGATAACAGAATCATCTAGGTAATGCATTTTCCATCAACTTAAGTGAGATTCGAGTTGCAGCTTCAACTGCTCAATAATATAACAGAAGAAATTGTGTGAATGACTGTGTGGGTAGTTGATGATTTTCAATAATAAACGACAGCTCATGCCATTGTGAATAGAACGTGACCGGCACGGCTTAGCCGTCGTGAGCTTTGAGAAGTTGAAGACGATCGCGCCCTCTCGACCTCACTCCGCGGCCACCGTATGTTCAAACCGCGTCTGTCCCAAGTCACCAAACCCGCCTTTCCGTCAGCGGCAGGCCTGTATCGATTCGCCTTTGACGCCGGTTTGAAATACGGCCAAGGACGACGGGCACTGGCGAGCCTCACTGCATTCGGCAACAAGTGCCGTCCCAGACGAGCGGGACTGGGTGATTTCCCAGCCGGAAAACTTTGAGAAAATATGGCTTTGTCAGTTTGTCTTGCTGAAATGCTAAACTCGCCTCCGCGTAGTCGCGTTTTATGCCGGGATTCATGAGTCTCGTCACGAAGGCTCAAGCGAGTGGCAGATTTTCACTCAGGCGTTGAACGGGTAAGGTTTCGTCGAGAATATGATCCAACCATGTTGGGGTGACCCACGTGTGTGTGAAGTCTTAGAAGGTTTCGGCAGGAGCTAAAGTTGTTGAAGCCCTATGTAGTGATGATCTGATTGTTTGTGACTGCCTCTTGGAAGCGATTTTCTCTTCCGTGAAAGCTCACCGCTCGGTGGTCAGTTCCTTAGAAATCGTTAGAAGTCGTAGCCCCTGTTTCGACTGAATTTTGATAGCCTCATCATCACCCACTGTTGTTTGCAGCCCTGGAACTGGGGTCGTCTAGACGTCTGGCTGGCGACAGCATATGTCTGGCATGAATCACTAAATGTCTGTGGTTCCGCCCAGTTCAATGGCACCATGTCTGGCGAGCAATGACCCGTGGTTTTCCATGGAAACCGACGATAACCGGGAAAAGAGACACAGGCGGCCACCGGCACGGCTACTGTAGGTTATCTGGACGATAAATTACCATCGATCGCCTCTCGACAACTCAACAATGCCCTGAGGCTATACGGTCGTGTTACGGCCATGCTGCAGGGAAGGCGAAAACGATTTCGGTAAAGCTGACATGTAAATTATATCAGCAGAAACATGGTGAACCATTCAATATCGCAAACCGTTGATTGTTTGCGCATTCAAAAGTAACCTTCGACATTCGTTGCCTTTCTGTTCTTATGCTTCTTTTCCACGCCTATAATGTTCAAAAATATTTTCAAGCATTGTTTTATATTTCATTCCTTGCCCCGGACAAAAGTTCAACCACAAATGACGTCTTCCATGACATTGTGGTATTTAGTCGAAAAGCAAATACCAGATATTGAGTATCCATGGCAGGTTGGATGATGATGTAGTAATTTTGAATATATTTGAATGCATTTGTAATAATTTGGTTTATTATTTACATCATCATCCAATACCAGATATGTTACAATGGTACCATGTCAATGTCACAGAAGGCAGCTGTGACCACATTAATGCGGCGTCGCGGCGGTGATGCCTGTTGCTAAGCAATCGCTGACAGCTGTGACTCCAGTGTCGCGTGCTAGAGCCGGTGACAGTGGCGGCTGCATGCAGACACTCAGGCACTCGTGATGACGACGATGCCGATTGTTACGAACGTCGATAAAAATGACGGCGACGATGACTGAAAAGACTACCGCACGCACTGTCTACAGACGTAACCTCTCCTCCCTCCTGCCCTTTTCAGTCGCTGAATGTGTTTCGTGCCGGCGACCCGTCACCTCAGGTCATCAGTCAGCTAGACGGTCGGTTCGTGCAGTCTGTGTGGCGACACAGCGGTGCTGCGTTGCTAGGGCGGCACACTTTGTGTAGCAGAGGGCGTTGACCTGTAACCTTACGTCCAGAGTATTTTACGTTAGATAATTACTCCCATGCGTCTACAAGGTTCAAGGAAGGATCAAGTGGTTCATTTAAAGGGCCTTTTTATTTATAGAGCTTTACGTTAGTCATGGTCACACGGTGTACACGATGGGTTTTGTAAAGATAGCAGATGTATCTTTCCCATAATTCCCTATGTCCAATCACATCTACATCACCGCCTGGGCGCCTCAGTCCCTGCTCCATGTTCCGATCGGCCGGCCCTATATGTATGTGTGCTCATCGGCCAGTGGACACGATATGCCGCGCGCCCGACCCGTCCTCAGTGATGGATCACCATGGCAACGGGCGTCATCGGTCAGCGATGGCAGAAAAGAACAGACCACACATGACGCCTCACTGGTAATAGGGTGGAGGTGCGTGAGAAATTTGTTCCGTTTTGGTATTGCAAGTATTTTTCATCTCATTAGCTCTGATTACTAATGAAACTCTGCCTTGCATATTTAGATGATTAGCACCTTTTACCTAAGACACAACACTATTTTTATTCATAAAATGAGCGAAACATAGGTAACATGTACAGGTAAAAGTAATGATGACATGTTCAAATAATAAAATTTATCTTCCAAGAAAAATCAGACAACAGCGAGGATTGTTTTCTTTTCGTGTGCATCCATACAGTGTTGGCCAGCCTCAGCGAGTCAGACAAACATCCGGCCGCCCCGGTGTGGGGTCCGCCCGTGTCCTGCGCAGTGCCTGTGTCCGCGGCACTGCGTCTCCCCGATATTTCCAGTGCCCCGCCGGCCTGCGTCAGACGGCTCTGGTGCCGCGCCAGGTTTTCTTCGTCACACTGCCAGGGTCGTCTTTGTGAGCATCTCCATACCTGGCTGCCAACTGCAGCTGCCGGACGGCGTGCGGGCACCTGGGACGTCCCAGCCCCGCCGCCCCCGCCGCGCCGGCCCCGCTACCCAGCCGGGGGCGCCCGGTCGACCCAGCCAGCCCAAACCGACCACAGAGCTGCGACGAGCCGCGATCGGCCGGCAGCCCGGCTCCAATCGATCTCAGCACAGGAATATGACGTACGGGGCCGCCGAGTTCGCCGCGGTAGCCACGATGGACGCCGGACGCTGTTTTGCGGCAGTACTGGCGCGACTAACGCGCCGCTAATGGCACACAAGAAACTACTTAGCCTTTGCCGGCAGACAGAGTCCGCTGATGCAATGAGTCGCCGACTGTGTCGGTTTTTGCCGTCTCTGTCTGTCAGTCTCTGTGTCGCCTCCTGGCTGTTTGTCGGCTGGCGGGGCGGAGATATTTTAAGAGCGGTTTGTTGTGGGCGGGTTGATGGAGTAAAATCGACGGCCGGATCAAAATGGATCTGTTTGTGTGAGCTGGAACAGCGTGGCAGCATACTGCCCTGATTGTTGACGTCCTGATGCGATTTAGATTTGTTTTGAATGGTAGCTCATTTTGGTGCCTGCCATCTACGTATCGATAAAAATGCGCCTAAATTTTGTTGTTTTCTTGTCATTAGTATTTGAACTTAAAAAGTATCTTTTACACTGCTGCACCTTTTCTAACCAAACCAACTAAACACAGTAATCCAATCATGGTTTATCCTCTCCCGTAATTCTCTTCTCATATGGCGAATCAGCAGATCTGGACCAGCGGGATTAGTCTCCAATTATCTCGCCACGGTGGGATGAGTCCTGAGCCCTCGCTCTGCTGAGTTTTGCCAGTGACCTTTACGTGACTAGCGAACATGGTCGACCACCATGGCCAGTGGCAGCTCGCTCGCATGTCTTGCCAGCCGGGGAGTGACTTCCGCGTGTGGTTACCGCAATAGCTTCATATCTGATTCCGTGTCTGGCTAACGCACTGGTTCCAGGTCTGGTAATCACCCCATGTTATCGTGGCTGGAATTAAATATCGCGCTGGTTCCGCGGTTGTTTCGCACTGGCTCTGCACTGTGCCTGGCTCCAAATCTAGTTTGGTGTTTGTTACCGTACTGGATATTTTAAATTCACGGTTACCTTGCGTTCCATGCCTGATTCCCGCACCTCGCGAGTCCCGATTTCCATCGCGCTGAGTCCCCGTGACTGGCTAGGCGAAACATGTCCGGACGGACTCAGCCCGGCCTAGCTAAAGGTCACGGTCGGGGTCAACGACCGCTGAAAGGCTTGGCGGCGGCCTCACGTATACGAGAGAGCTTCGTGCCGTGAATACTCGCCACAGACAGGAGTTGTGGTGTGCGACGGAAGGTCATTTGGGACTTTGTGTGCGGAAATGTTTGGACAGGTTGCTTAGCAACAGGCATTGAAATACGTTAGAGTGCCTTAGGAATATGTCAGTAAGCATGTGAGGTTATGGATAATTGCGAGCTCTAAATAGCACTCGCCTTTGCTATTTGTCTTGCGGCTTTCGTGCTCTTAGCGACGCAATTACCTACGCTTTCTGTGCTATATGAAGGATGATGTGCATTGTTCACTTGGAGAGAACCACTTTTCTTCACTTTGTAGGCATTATTGATTGAATTTGCAAGGCTCCATTCCCTGATTGCACTCCAACTTGAGTCCCTACCTCGGACCTCGGACCTGACTGCTGACCTTTGACACGAATCTGTCGCGGTCGGCGGCTGTTCCAGGCCCTGTTGCCCGCCTCCAGTCTACTGCAGCTCACCGGTGTTAGGGAGGCGTGCTGCTACTTCCTGCTCAAACAGCTGCACCCCTCCAACTGCCTCGGAATACGCAGCTTCGCAGGTAAAACGTGATTAGAAGAGCCGTGTAGGTAATTGGTCGTAGCCTTGACCACAAAGAGCGGATTTGTTGTTATTGTTACGAGGCGCAACACTAGACGATAACAATCAAAAAGCATTTTGTCGTTGGCATCAATAGTTGACAAAAAAGGCAAGTAAGATTGTAGATTGTTAGTAAGATAAGTAAGATTTAGTAAGATTGTAGACGTTAACTAAAGACATTGAGGTCATTCTTATTCTTTACCACAATCACAAAACATTTTGTGGTTGACATCAATAGTTGACAGAAATAAATTAAATTAAGGTAGATAGAAGTAAAAATTATCATTAACACATACTTGAAACCACCTAGCAAGAATCTTATTGTTTCAGACACCCATTCCTGTGACGAACTTCACATACGCTCTCACAAATTCGCGCTGCAGAACTTCCAAGAAGTGTGCGGCACTGAGGAGTTCCTGTTTCTGCCCTTCAAACAGGTAATTTGGGCGGGGCTGCTCCTCCCTTGACAGCGGTCAAACGAGCCCTAAAAACTTTCCGCGCGCTTGCGTGCGAATTTGGGCCGTGAATCAGAGCGTTCATTGATCGCGGTAGGGCGGTGTGTCCTCAATAACCTGAGAGGTCAGCCGCATTGGACCGTGTTTAATCACTTACAAACGACCGCCGAGCTCGTCTAAAGACTCGTCTGTCGGCATCGATTTGGGCTAAATTTTTCAGAGCCCGATAGTCACGCTCCAGACAAGGAGCCTATTTTGGGCGTGGTAGCCGCCTGGACACAGCGAGGGTGGCGCAGTTCGCAGCGACCTTGTTATAAACCCGTGAGAAATAAAATTGACAGTGAATTACCAATATAGCTTACCAGTAAAACGCCTTTTGGGCGAAGAACGAGCGAGCGAGATAGTGAGCCCTGCATGTGCAGAAGGGCGAGAGGGTACTTCCATCGGGCTTGTGCAAAGCACCCTTCTAACCGGTCGCTAGCGGTGTACCAAATTTGAACGCAATCGGCCCAGCCGTTCCTGAGATCTGGAAGCGGCATTCTGCACGTGCGCACGTGCAAACGGGGTCCAAAATGACTTTTGCACGGCACCCTACTAACCGGTCCCCAACCGTGTACCAAATTTGAGCGCAATCGGCCCAGCCGTTCTCGAGATCTGGAAACGCCCCCTGCACGTGCGCACGTGCAGTAGCATCCTAACCGCAACACATGGGAATGCATTGCCTGGTGGGTGCCTACCCGTATGCCAAGTTTCAGCGAAATCGCCCCAGTAATTACCGAGTTACTGAAATGGGAACAAATTTGGCACCTCTTATTGTTGTATTTTGCACGTGCAGTGGGGGTCACTCACATAGATGAAGAGTATCCGACCTTTGGTAGAAGGGATGCAGCTACCCTATAAAAATGACCGCAAGACAATCGCTCAAGCCGCTGCTGAGATATGGGCCTCTCAAAATCATTACTTTTGCAAAACTGCTTGAACACCCTTGACTTTTCACGTGGCACGTGCCACGGCGGTCACTGAGATGTATCAAAAGTAGTCAATTACGGGGTAGAAGGGATGGGGCTACCCAGCAAGAAAGACCGCAGGCCATTCGGTCCCGCGGTTGCTGAGATATAAGCCTCTCAAAAGCGTTACAGGCCGGGCCGGGCCGGGCCGGGCCGCTCATACTGAGATTTTTCCGTTATATTGAAAAGACTTCGCTTCGCTCGCTGCGCTCGCTCGCTCGTAATCAATCACTTAATGAAAAGTTCGTCATTCATTTTTGGCAAAATTGCAATTTAAAGTTTCATTCTGATATCTTGGTATGTACATTTCGCAGTAGGTATAATTATTTTTTCCATAACAATCTTATTATACAACTTGTACCTAACTGTAGGCATTCCATAGATGTCTGAATTGATTCTAAGAGGCTTGTTTTTGTATGCTTTTTCATCTAACCCGTACGTTGACTCTGGTCTTCAAGCGTTAAATGACGAGTGACGGTCTGTTTTCCAGTTTCCGAACACGAAACAAGTTTCTATGCAGACTTGTGCCTAAAGCCTGGAAAACATAACGATGCGGCAGCTGAAATATGTCTCATAATCGCCAACAACAATAGCTGTTTCATTGGATGTTATATTTACCTTAGCTTGATTGGAGATGTTTCTCAGAAACTAGTAAATCTCAAGCGCAGCATTTCATAAATAAACGTCTTTTTGTGACTGATTTCTGAGACGTTTCACCTGGTGCCCAGGTGAACGAGCTGATTGCCAGCAACCAGATGAACGTGGCGGACGAGGAGACGGTGTTCCGATCCGTGGTCAAATGGGTGCGGCACGACGAGGCCGAGAGGAAACAGCACGTGGCAGAGGTGAGTGCAACCACGTGGCATGTGCCGGGGAGAGATGAACTTCAGTGAAAAAACCTCCGCTAGCGTACTCATGAATTAGCGTTGGAGCGTGGTTAGTCGCTAAATGAAGTGGCCAACAGCTTAGCATTGGAAATCCCTCAAGTCTCAGACCCTTTGATGTTCTTACTTTTCTTCTGGAATGACAGATGCGCGAATCTTTCAGTATATTTTCCGGATAGAAAAGCCGCCTTGCTGTTCATGACACTGATCTGAATACATGGCCACGCCCAATACTAAATCAGCCCGTATCAGTTTATAGCCTATTTCCGCTGGGGCTGCACGGTCAGCGATAGAGGAATTCCGAATTTCCGACTGTCCCTCAGATAATAATACGAATATTATACTCTCCTGCGGCGACCAGTGGCGTGCCGGCACCCTGTTTATCACCGCGTCCTCAGAACTCGGCACCAGGGGACTGGGACCGGGGCCACTCGTATCCGATCGGCTATCATTTTTAACTGCGGGGTATAGAATGTTATGGCCCATAACACTCAGAGCCTGCTCCTACCCATTTTTGTACATAAGTGATTAGGTCGTTGCATGCTGAGAGGTCCTGACGCGAAATCAATAACCATGGTGACGCCTGCTCGATGCTTTTAGAAGGTAGTAGCATTTCCCGGTATTTTCCGCAATGACAAATATGCACAAATTGATAGCATTCACGGTTGGTGAGCGTTTGTGAGTAATGGCATATCGCCAGGGCATGTCAATGTATTATTCCTGCGCTGATGATTGATTGTCCGCTCCAGTAACGCAATCAATCAGCATCATTGATTGGCGATGGTTTTTTTGCCACGCTTCCCAAGTTCTATGTCCATTGTCCAATGCAACGGCATTCGACTTTAGGCTATGGCTGTTTAAATATGCTTTGCGCTGTGCGCACATTGGGTGCTGTTGCTGTTGTAATGCAATCTAAGAATGCTCCATTTTAATTTCGCCATATGCGTGACTTACCGAGATCGTTTTATTCAAACACACTCCCGGTAATTTAACTAACATCACCAAAACCTCCAAAACCTCTAATTACCTAGCCTCCCCGCTAAATCTCCCTCCGTCTGGACATGTCGCAGCTGATGTCGCACGTGAAGCTGCCCCTGCTCTCGCGCGACTTCCTAGTCGGTACTGTGGACCAGGAGCCACTGCTGCGAGAGGACGCCGCGTGTCGCGAGCTGCTGCTGGAGGCCCTGAAGTACCACCTGCTGCCAGAACAGAGGGCCTCCATGGTGTCCTCACGGACCACGGACAGACGACCGGACGCCGCCGCGCCCTACCTCTTCGCTGTCGGTTAGTTCGGGAAGGAAGAGAGGAGAGAGAAAGGGAGAGGGAGGGAGATGGAAATGGAGAGGTGGAGTGAGGAGGGAGAGGGAGAGAAGAAATTGGAGAGGGAGGAAGGATGGAGGAGAGGAGAGATAGTGATTGAGTAGCTGAAGAGATGTGGCATTTTTTATCGTGGCAGTGTGAAAAAGTATATTCTGTCCTATGAATATTCGGTGAAAGCACATACATGAAGGGATCTCTTCCATATAAAATATGCTAGAGAATATTGTACAGTTACTCGGTTTAGCTTGTGTATCGGACGTTTTACGATGACGTGTCCAAAGACGCGAACGCTGCAGCAGTCTCAGCCGTGCGACACAGTATACTTCCAGGCGTTTACCGCTAGCGCCATCTATGAACGGGAAGATCAGTGAGCTAGTCTCGGCAGCATCAGCTGAGGAAAAACGGTCGTGCTAAAATGAAATGAGATGTTGGAAATGCTATTTCTTTTTCACAATTTCTACGGGCATAAGAATGTGAGCTGCTTGTTGATTACTTGGTCAGCAAACAATATGTGCCAAATCGACTATCTACCTACTCAAGTCGCGGTCTTAAGTGCGATTAATGTTTCCCACCAAACACCACATTGTCTTGCTGGATAAAAACCTATTCTTCGCAAATCATCCCATCCAAAACAATTATTATGGCGCAATGTATTCCCTATTTGATATTTACCATCACCGACCGTATAAACGACCACTGAACCCTGATGCCCAGTCTGCATTCCACCGACTCTGTCTCTGTCTCTCTCTGACCCGCGGCAGACAGATTAATTCCACTCAGCTGCCAGCATTCAGACCACACGGGATAAACACTTTTTTCGTCGGACTTTTTTTGACCCAGCACGGTGACTGGTTTTCCTGGTATTAGTCGGTGGCACCCATTGTTTGCTATGGAGCAGCAATAGCAAAATGCTGACGAAATAAACGAGCTACCGCGTAGGTAGCTCGGTAGACGGACGGAGAAAGCAACTAGCTTTTGGAAAAGTATCGACTCATGTCAACCATAAAAAGATTTATGAATTTATCCAATTGAATGTTTGTGATCTAGTTATTGTGATCCACTAGTTTTGTTCCTATCTTCTAGGAGAAATCAGAGCCAAGGCACAGCTATATTTTTGTAAAGATATATGTTTATTACAATTTAATAAGTCAGTTATGGCTGACTTTGTCCCTTCGTCTCGGCAGGCGGCGGCAGTCTGTTCGCGGTCCACTCCGAGTGCGAGGTGTACAACCCGCGCCTGGAGCGGTGGCTCTCGGTGGCCAGTATGAACACGCGCCGCTCGCGGGCCGGCGTGGCCAGCGACGGCCGCCTCCTGTACGTCATCGGCGGCTACGACGGCAGCGGCGACCTCAACACGGCCGAGAGCTACAACCCGCTCTCCAACACCTGGAGCTACGTGACGCCGATGGGCGCCAAACGCAGCTGCTTCGGCGCGGCGGGCCTCAACGGACTCATCTACTGCTGCGGAGGTAAGAGCGGAGCGGCGTGGGGCCCGGGGGTGGTGAGCGGCAGAGAGCAGGGTGATGGCTGTTGCAAGGGTGTTGCTTTGGTCGAAAAATGGTGCGGTGTTGAATTAAATAAGAGAAAAGGTACAACACTCACAGGTTGTGTTTTTACATGTATCGATGACATTCAATGTTATTCCATTTATTACATTGTCTTTCCAAATTCCGACGATTTCTTCCTTTGTGCCGGACCGCTGAGACATTTTGTGTCCCAGATTTGTTGTCACAAAAGGATGACTTTGCAATCCATCCGTCGTTTTATGCCAAAGTTCGTATGCTTAAATGTGAAATCGGAACACCAAATATTTACGAGCAAGCTCTAATCCCAACACTAGGCTAGTTTAATATCGAAATGGAATAGCGTAGCGTGAATTGAAGCCAAACATGGTTGAAAACTGAAATCACTCTGTGGGGGTGGTCCAGCTTAATGGCTCTGGGCGCAGTGAATTGAATTGTCACCACTTTTTTCTGGCTGGATGCCTAATGGTGATGTCTCTCATAAACGTAGAGCCATTAAAGCCCTGGCAGCCTCATCTTCACGATGAATAGCCCAACTTTATAGCGCACCGGACGGGAGGGGAGACAATGGACACTGCACACTACAGTTTAGTGTCGCTACTCGGACTCCCGTAATCCGGCCAGATTGGTCGGCAGTGGCACTGTGGCGCGGTGCTAGTAGGCCTTAGCCATCAGAAAACCTAGCTGGTCTTTGGACATTGGACATTAGGACAATTTAATTAGAAACGGATTCGGTTCATGACTACTACACATGTGATATCACCGGTTTAGTCGGTCCTCCATGTTCCTTATTTGGAAGGGCTCAGGGGATTCTCTTTATCAAATGTCAAGCCAAATAATGCAGCGGAATGCATATAATGACGTCGGTAGGCAATAAGCAGATACATGTATAACACACTGAATCACCTCAAAGTACAGAAGAAACATCTCATAGTCACAGACATGCATTGCGCGACCCCATGTGTCGCTAGCGACCCGTATAACCATATGAGGGCTGCCACGGTGTCAGAGGGCGCGCCTCCCAAGTAAATCCCTAGACCCTAACCCGTCTGACCATGTGGTCCATTACAGGGTACGACGGCGCCTCGTGTCTGAGCAGCGTAGAGCGGTTCGACCCCCTGGCCGGCACCTGGTCCTCTCTGCCCCAGATGACCTCACGCAGACGCTACTGCCGACTCGCCGTCCTGGGTCAGTACCGAGCCCGCGTGACACCCCAATTGTACATTGAAGCGCTGAGTATATTTATGATGCACCATTATTCGCAATGTGTTACTTCAAATCGTTCTTTTTTGTAGTTTTTTTTTTTTTTGCAATTTGCAAAGATTTTAAAATCAATCCAACGTTTAAGGACATAATTTTTGTCTTTTCCTCCCGTTCACAGATAACTGTTTGTACGCCATCGGCGGTTTCGACTCGGCCTCCTACCTCAGTACCGTGGAGCGTCTCGATCCCAGGATGAACAAGTGGACCAGCCTGCCGCCCATGTCCAGCAGGTCGGTGCCCGAGATGAACAGTCTGCCACACGCGATATCGCTTGTCTTCAGATAGGGACTGACCCAGAGACCATGAGACAATATATGGGGTGCCTGGAAACTAGATGTAAATAGAGCACCGCGCTTGTTCGAGAGATTCATAACAGAGGACTTTGACCGAAACTGCACAGAATGCAAGTTTTAATTAGATGAAGTTTTAACGAGGCTTTGCACGTATTGATCTACTTAGTACGTGAAGTACCGTTAACGTTGCCTATACGTAGCGTAATAGGCCGCTGCACTTGGCAGGACGCGCGATCAGTCCGATAAACAGATATTGGGTTTTTGTCATTTGTTCCATTTTCGCCCATCTCATTTCCGCCGCTGGACGGTGTCAGAGACGAGTTGGCAGCACGCCGCATTAGGCGATCATGGCGCGGCGTGGCGCCAGTTGGATTTGGCAGCAGCGATGCGGTCTGCCTGCCTCCGATGGCTCCATCGTTCAGCATTATCGCACGCCAGTGTCGGCCGCAGGCGGGATGGGGGCAGGTCGTAGGAGCTGAAGGAGGTCACAGGAGGGGCTAGAGGTGAGTTAGAGGCAGGATGGAGAGCGGAGGCACGAGTCGGAGGACGGGATGGAATTAAAGGAAACATCGTCGCTGAAAACCCAGAACTGAATGGATTGATTAGTGGTTTAGGAAACTGACGATGGAAAGAAAAAAATAATGGGAAGAGGGAAATGAAAGGAAGGCTGTGAGCCCTGAACTGTGACCGGGTTTGAGGTAGAGCAAGAGCAAGAGCCAGGAGCATGCAGGCTAAACACTGTACCATTATTTTCTAGGTTTAGACGCCAGTCAGCACTCAGCGCCGACCAAAACGTTCTCTTCACACGGATAACCTCCAACATTTTGACCCAGACCCTTGGCTCAGCACTACCATGCAGTGGCGGATCCAGCTCAGAGTTTTTTTTTGGGGGGGCAAACCATAACAATTTATCGATTTTTTCCATGCCTCGTCCATAGGCGTAACCCTCGCATGTGTGCGGCGTTTGCCAGCTTCTAATGTGTAGGGGGGGGGGGGTCGGTTGGACCCCCCCCCTTGCCGTTTGGCCCCTGATCGAGCTAGAGCTTCGCGCAAAAAACGAGCGTGTTGCCCGTGACGAGAGGAAGCCGATGATACCCAATTTTAAGGTCCTAGGTCATTGGTTGACCTTCCAGGTCAGGTCAATGACCCAAAGTCGGGAAAATCGGGACCTTTTAGAAAGTCGTAAAGTGTGGCTGCTAAGGGGTTTTTCGGGGTGCTGATCACGAATATCGTGTTAGTTTTGATCACAGATGATGTCTTGAAGCATTTAGACCAGGTCGGGTCAGGTCAGGTCAGGTCAACCAGTAGGCGTCGTGACGGGTAATCGTAGTACGTGTCAACCGCCTCTGACAGCTTCGTAACATGTTACGAAGTCACCAAAACTACTTCGTAAATGTTCAAATGGTTGCTAAATTCGAATTCAGCTCCAAAAACTAGCCTAGAAACATGTAAAACTCGAAAAAGTGACCCGAGGTCACCAAAGGTCAATGACCTGACCTGACCTTCAGGTGACCTTGACACACACGGGAGTAACATCAAATCACATGTTTCAACGTTTGAAACCACAAAAAGCTTGCAAACACGCGGCTAGTGCGAGCCGACATACGAGAAATCGCGATTCCGGCCAAACATGGTCTCGGAAAAGAGGTCACAGGTCAAAGGTCATTTGGGTCAGGGTCATGAAATTTACAGGGTAGGTGTAAAATTGATCAATGCGAGGGTACTGAATTTTTCGTCGCGATCGGCCGCTTTTTACGCGAGTTATTCGCGAAAAACCATGGGGGGGGGTCCATCCGACCCCCCCCCCTACACATGCGAGGGGTAATGTTAAAATTATGCCGTTTGGGAGGGGCAAATGCCCATTTTGCCCCCCCCCCCTGGATCCGCCACTGCTACCATGAATGACCTGTGATAATCTATGGACGTAACTGCGGTTCGATATTGGTCAAAGAGCACCACAGTAGTCAATTCCCCCATTAGCGCGGTGCGTCAGGCCGTGTACGAACGAACACAGGCATGTAGTAACGCTGCATCATTAGAGCTATGCGTCTGCTTTTACGCTTCTCACAGTTCCTTTAGAAAGTGACTGCGTTACGCAGCTTACACTGCAGGGTGTTAGCTTTAGACGGGTATTGACTACCTACAGGACATAAAATCGACACGTACGGACTAAAGGTGTTAGCTCCAGGCTGCCCAGGCGCTGGATGAAAGCACACCACCGCGCCGGCGTGGCGGACCGCGTCATCCTCCCGTTTGGAGGCTCTTTGTGTGACGTTTAGTCACGGGGTGTGACGGGGTGACGAGGGGCGTCACGGGCGGTGACGCCGGGCCAGTGACCGATGTGACGCCCCCTCCCCTTCCCCGTCACGCACCTTTCTCATCAGCGTTGCAAGCCCATTAACACCCGTGGGAGCCGGCGATGTATTGCACGAAACGGGGAAAACTTGGTGTCACGCCAGCACACAAAGAAATTGTGTTCTTTTGGCGTGATTGCTGCTTCGTGGTGTCGTAGCAAATGGACTCCTGTGTTTTGTGATAACTTTTTGTGAATGACTAGACATTAGGCGATGCATTCTTGATGCAAGGACAATTATTTTCTTGTTGAAAGCTGCTATGTTGGATGCTTTCGTCGTCGATAATGCATATCGATGATATCGGTGCGATTTAAAAGTAGGGGAAGTTGGGGGAACGCCGAATACTTTTTTCTGACGCCCGTAGCACGCAAGGTAGACAACATAAGCTATTCTTGCTGGCGTCATTCGAGAGGCCAGTCTTTTGCCTTTCAAACATACCAGGCGCATTTGATGAATTCGCATACCGTTAAGCGCACAAACTAAAAATATCAAAGAAGTGATTTTTTCGGCGTTGCCCCGGACTGCGGGGAAAGCCGAAAATGGGAGAAATGATCTACGGGGAATGCCGACATTGATGTTTTGCCACTTTATCTCAAACTTTATCCAGAATTTATCAAAGCTGACACGCGTTTTAAGAGCTTGAGGACGCTTGGTGCACACTGGAAGTTATAATTGTGTGATATAGTAAGAAAATGCCAGGTAAATAATTCCTTATAGGTAACAGGCCGTTGTGTCGGTTGAAAGTGTAATTTGTGTGACTAAAAATTCGCGTTGCTATTCTACAGCAGTAAAGTCCATGTAGCGTGCTTTAACGTGCGTAATTGCACGTTTTCGGCATTACCCCAGCCAGCCATACTTTCATTTGCAGGCCCATAACTTTTCAACGTGCCGTATAAATTTCAAATAGGCAGCACACTTATGCAAAGACATGCTGAAGATTACTTGACCGAATTGGCCAGACAAACGGTAGCATAATGAGTAAGAAATGCAGCTTCAAAGGCACATGTAGTACAAGGAACGCGTACCTTGAAAACGCTCTTGGCGCCCTCACAGCCGAAGTATTCCGAATGACGACTCGTAACAAACATGCGATAATTGTAGTCACTTAAGCTTCAGAGCATCACTGACAGGTGGCATCCATGTCTTACGGTTTTCGAAATATCTCGAATTTCGGCTTTGCCCCAACTCCGGCATTGCCCCAACTTCCCCTAATGTTGCACTAATGACTGTCCCAGGTTAAGTCACATAATTCAGGGCCAAGGGGTAGGTGATCTATGAACCCCGCAGAGATCGCAGTTTGGCGTCTTCCTCGTTGATTTTGTGCCGATTCAATTTCCTTCAAGCAGGGTTGTGATTTGTAAGAATGTGCGATTTAAAAGTAATGTTGCACTAATGACTGTCCCAGGTTCAGTCACATAATTCAGGGCCAAGGGGCAGGTGATCTATGAACCCCGCAGAGATCGCAGTTTGGCGTCTTCCTCGCTGATTTTGTGCCGATTTAATTTCTTTCAAGCAGGGTTGTGATTTGTAAGAATGGGCTTGTCCCTGAGAGGCTGTAATTTGAAGAGAGGTCACGTCCTAAGCTAATACCTACGAGGTCTTCAAATAAGAGCCCGTGGCGCTGAGAGCCGAACCTGTCGGTAATAACATACAGCATCGACTTCTAATCACCGTACGCACTTCCATATCTCTTGGATGCAGGTCAGGCACCTTGCGTTGTTTTCTGATATAAAACATAATATCATTGATAATGTAGGTCTTATGGTGATCGCAATCTCGTTCCGTTCGGCAGGCGGAGCAGCTGCGGCGTGGAGACGGTGGGCGACTGGCTCTACTGTGTCGGCGGTAACGACGGAACAATGTGCCAGGCCACCGGCGAAAAGTTCAGCCTCCGCAGAAACACATGGGAGACCATCGCCAGCATGCAGTCGCGCAGGTGAGCTCTCGCGGGACGGGCGCATATAATCACCCCGCTGACGACGAGACCTAAAATCCCGACAGAGGACAGGGGTGCTACATATTGGCATGTCGTATACCGGCTTGACGTACGATTTGGCATCGCCAATTCCCGTGATAAGTGATCCAGAATATGACACGAACTGAAACTGATGTGTACATGAAGGTTCGAGGCAATGCTTGCCTTCCTTATTTGTATTTAATGGTTATGCTGCAACCATCGAGAGCAATGCTCCACAAGATCTTCAGGAGCCTCCAAGTCAAGTACATATGTGTCATTTCATAACCCAATCACTTGATCCTCTTATCTCACCCACAACCTTCGCTTCTCCCTCCGTCTGGACATCCATCCTCGGCGTCTCCTCCTGGCGTGTGATGAGATCGTAGCCGCCGATCGAACCCCCTATAAACCACCCAAACGAGCGCTCCAGTCCAGAGACCGTTCGTCAGGCGGTCCTGAGAACTACCCAGAAAGGAGCGACTACCACCCTCGCGTGCGCGGGGAAATCTCGGCCGCAATCCGCCCTCGGAGAGACATTAGTGTTATTGGTGCTCCGGTGCGGCAGGATGTCTCGTGAGCCTGACTTATCGCCGGTAGTGGATGAATGATGTGACCGCGCACGGAGGGAACGGCCGGGGAGTGGGTGTCTGCTGTAGATGGTAGAAGGATAAGGCAGTGTTTACTAGTGGTGTCAATCGGAACTTGAATCTTCGGAATTCCGATTTTGTCCAATGTCCAATTCGGAATTCGGTTGGACAATGGCAGCAGGCTTTGGACAATTTTGGACAATCGCTTGCTACACATCAACATTTTTAAAAAGTAGTCGTGTTTAACATTGATTGGCTATTAGAAAGTTACGCTTTCGATATGATTAACACTTTTGAGCTTGTAACGGTACATGAAAAGGAAATTAAATGACAGTGTTGAGTGTAAACTATTGCGTAGGTGTCGGACATCTTTGGACAAATGGCTGGCTTGGACATTTTTGGACGGACAATCGACGCAAGCATTGGACATTGGACGGACTTTGGACATAGGTACGTTTTCTGAACTTGACACCACTAGTGTTTACTGTGTAAGCTATCATAAGACTTATTCGTGCATACTTCATATAGATACAATCTCTGGCACATGTTCTGCGACTGCCGTTCATCTTCGTAACACGAGCTTTTGTATGCCTACACAAGCTCTTTATGCCTACCGAAGTTCGAAACTCCCACTGACAGTTATATCGCCCTCCCCTGTGCCTCCCCCTCCCCCTTCCGTCAGGTCCACCCATGAGCTGATCCACGTCAGTGGCCGTCTGTACGCCGTGGGTGGCAACGACGGCAGCTCCTCCCTCAACACGGTGGAGAGCTACGACGACCGTCTGAACCGGTGGAAGCAGGAGCCGCCGATGGCGTGCCGGCGCAGCTCGGTCGGCGCCGCCGTGCTGCACTGTGTCAGCCTGGTGAGTCCCGACCGGTGGTCGTGGCGCCGCTCCTAGGCGACAGCACAAGTTTCAGTTCGTGAAGATGGCAATAGGTGGCGGTGTGGCCTGAGTGATGGGAAAGCCACTGAGAGGCGGTAAGGTTGTGGAAAATGGTTTTCATGGCTCTTGATGCAGGAGTGATGCGATTTCGGTCAGGTTTCGGTAATGTTGCGGAGAGTGACGAAGTCTGGAGCTGAATGGTCAAAGTGTTGATAGAGAAGTTCCCTGGGTTGATCACAGATGGCAGTACGAGCGAGCTTACGCTGCGAACGAAACGACGACCGACCGATTGAGGTCGATACTATTTTCATACGTTTATAGTGTGTCAATTTATTTTTAGCGTGTGTTATGGGCAGCAGCGTGCTCGATGTATTTATACCTACTCTGCATTACCTATGGATGCAGATAGACTAGGATCGTTGCGTAGGTATAGGTGAATAGGTAGTTAGTGTTAGCTAAGGTGTAGGATCTCAGGCATCCATAATTAGCGACTGAGTTCGTAGACACAGCGTGATGAGAAATATTTAGAAGTGCGTATAGTTCGCATGGCTTATTTTTATGCTCGACGTGTATCCATTCCGCCTGCGTTGGATTGGATTCAATCCGTCAAAGGCCGGTCGGCCTTTAGATTGCGCCATAATTGTAGCCATAATGCCCATATTTGTCGGAATATATGCGTCAAAATTTTAATAAAGCAAGCGATTTTTATGCGATGTGGCATACATTGCTGATAAATGACTAAAACTGTGTCAACTTTGCGCTAAAGGAGGTTGCTATTTAGCCATCAAATATACTATGTCGATCACGGTCTTTGCTCATGTCTCTGCAACAGCAATATCAAATGCCTATTTTGTAAATTGAGAGGTAAGGCCGCATGGCTTGTGTCTTTGTGTCTAAGTCCTCAGCGTCGATTATCCTATCTCTAGCCACTTTTGATTAAGCGTCCATTCGGAACCAAGTGCATTGATGATGATCGATTAGTCTAATGTTGGTTGAGCAGGGTTGATAGCGTGCTTTCAGCAGTGATGTTTTTCAAAGACGACTTCAACCATGACGTGCCAGTCGGTAGAGCCAGCATTTCCGATGGCTTACGACTAATACTAGTTTGTCCTCATTTTCAATATGACTGCAGCTGTGTTCAAGACTAATTTCTTTTCTAGCTGACTTCTAACTTCGCCCCACAGGATGGTGGTGTGAGCTGGGTGTGAGATCGCGATGATTAACAAGTAACAAGTTTGCCTCCCTCAGACACCTTCACAGCATCAGCTAGTCTAGCCCACTCTAACCCATTTAACCTCTAACCACCGCACGCGCATGACCCGCCCACTAACCGCACTAACCACCCCGCCGGCAGGAGCGCCTGTTACGGGGCAAACAGTGGAGCGCCACGCCCATGTCGACCTCTCTGACGGCGGCCTCGGCCCTGAACGGCCGGCCCACCAGTCTGTGTGTGCGAGCCCGGGACACCGCCTCAGACAAGTCGCGCCGGGAGCGGCGCCTCGACTCTGCTCACCGCGGCACCTTGTGATGGGCGCTCTCGCGCTGCCTCTGCAGGCCCGTCTGCTAGCGACATCGCGCGGCGGCAGAGCGAAGCTCGAGTGATGGGGTCGGCCGACAGGCGGGCTCTGTGCACCGGATTGAGAAGCACTCGGAGGCAGCACGAATTTGTTTGTTTTTGTTTTCAAGTGACATGAATTGACGATTCCATCTTCACACTATGTGCTGACTTGTTAGCACAACAGGTCTTCTAGTACCAGAAATAGGAACTGGATAGTTATCAAACATAAAACATGATCTTAGAGCGAATCAGATACCTACACTTTAAAAACGACAATACCAATCATCTTGACCATAGACTTCTCAAATCTCACAAGTAATCCTACTTCAACCTCCGATCCCTCTGATCTATCCTCGGGACACTATAATCCTCAACACTCCAGCGTTGATCTGTAATCATCGCCCATCGGAGAAGCTTTGATCAGAGCACGCCACCAAATAAGCAATATGGATTCCACTACTCATCACCTAAATATTCATCAACCCAGAACGGACTCTAAAATTTGACCTCGAATTGCCTTAGCCTTTCTATGAATCACTCACAAAAAACGACAATAGGGGCGTAACGAGTCCTTACTGCCTGAGCCACTGCCGAATACGTGCGGTCAACGGGAGGGTACAAAATGCGGCACATCACATGACACTGCCCCAGAAGCCGGGTGACTGACTGGAGCCCCTATGTGAACGATAGGTTGATTTGAGAGGATGTGAATAACCCTATCCAGCACCACCATTGATTCACGATCATGAATTTCATGCGGGTAGAGCTTCATTTGTATCCCATGGATCCTTATTTTCTTTCTATGTTTCCCCTTTTTTCCTTTTCTTCTTTTTCTATTTTTTTTTTCTAAACGAAAGAACTTTACCAAGCACCTAACCCAGAATAATACGTTGCATTGCGTGTTTCCTAAGCAAGGTGTGTGCGCCCGATAAGCCCAACGTCTTGTCTGTCAAATGTGGTTGGGTGCCGTATGAAAGTTTTCATACAATCCTAATAGAACAACCAACACTATCAACAGCTGGAATGTCAGAACCTCAGTCAGCCTGTCAGAACCGCCGTTGTCCCTTCAACGCCAACTTCTTGCTGCTATCCGACCAGCCCCTGCTGCTGAGGTTGTAGTTCGAAGCAGAACCCAATTATTGGAAGGAGCATGTATGCTTGCATATTGCCCTGTATGTATGTACAGTGATTTGATGTAAAGAGAGCCTTCCTGTCCTCGGTGTCACCTTTCGCGTGCAAATGTATAATGCATTGTAGTGTTTGCATGTTGAGTTCATGGTGCTGCCAAATAAAGGTATTTCCCTATGTGGCAGCAATGGCACATTGGTGGCGCACACGTGACAATTGTGGTACGGTTTTGGCGCCAAGAGTTGACCTCTGGTGACCGGTGACCTGAGGTCAACAGACTGGTCTGGAGTGTGGCTGAAGAAGCATTGATACTGTTGCTATTTACCTTGTTATTAATATACCATGTAATTGTCAAGACTTGATTGTGTCAAGACACTACATAAATTGGCGACGAGGATGTCAAACTAACTCTGATAATTGAGCCAAGGAAGAAGGCGGACTACAAGTAGACTGTAGAGTACAAGTGAGGCAAGTGGCTGCAGCTGTTATCGAGGAAGGGAGGTGCGGTAAGATGGACGGGATCCAACCACCACCTGCCTTCCTGCCGGCGGCTGGTAAGCCAAAGGTACCCTGGTCTGGGTGGTATGCTGATTTCGAGGTGTATGCTCTTGCTATTGGGTGGTGTGAGTGGTCAGAAGAACGCCAGCAGGCCTTGCTGCTTCATTGTGTGGGTGCAGAAGCTCGTAGGCTGTACAGGACTAAGCTGCCAACAGGAGGACTTGTGAAGCAGCCCAAAGTTGAAGGTGAGAATGAATCACAGCACAGGTCACTGGCCATGCAGTCATGTAGCATTTTTGAGGAACTATTTGCAGCCAAAAATGACTATATTACTGAGCGTGTGCAATTCAGAAGGTGCGTGCAGGACAGGAACACGACAGTCCAGACGTACCTAGCTAACCTTAGGGAGAAGAGTCAGCGATGTGGATTTGGGGAATTAGAAGATGAGATGATACGGGACCAGTTTCTTGAGGGATGTTCATCAAGTCGCCTGAGGGAGCGTCTTTGTTCAGAGCAGTGCCTAACCTTGACCCGTCTCGAGGAGATTGCAGCAGCAGCAGAAATCACTGCAGAGCGACATACCACAGTCTGCGGCGCCGTAGGGCCAGTTAAAGATGCATTTGAGGATGCCAATCAAGAGGTGGCAGCAACATCCGGTAAGTTTGGCAAACCGAGATCCCCAGACAATGGCCGTCGGTCGAAGACTTGCTTTGCATGTGGCTTCAGTGGTCACAGGTCGGGCGATAGCCGATGCCCAGCCAGGGAGAGGGAATGCCACATTTGTCATGAAGTGGGTCACTTCGCCAGAGTATGCAGGACCAGATCACAGAGACCGGACACCACGAGAGCCCCACCCGGAGTTTCGACTGTAGAAGTCTCATCAGTTCATGACTTGCTGAGCTTGTCTGGTCCAATGCTTGATGTGGATGTTGATGGCACTCTGCTGGAGATGATGGTAGACACTGGTTCGCCTGTTAGCCTCCTGCCTTTGCATCTGCACCAGGCGAGACTCCCTCAACTGCCACTGCATGCATGTGATGTTGCATTACGAGGATATGGGGGACACAGCCTTGACGTTGTTGGTGTAATCCATGCCACAGTGACCAGTAACGGTAAGTCAGCTGACGCTGACTTGTATGTGATGAGAGGCGGTACTGTACCTTTGTTGGGGCGTGACTTACAGCTCAGTCTGCAGATCACAGTCAAGAACGGCAATGCTGTGTGTGCCGTGTCACCTGGGAGTCAACCGGAGCCAAGCCAGCCCGGTCTCCCTCCCCTTCGTGGGTTTGTTCACAGGGTAAAGGTGAGGGACGGTGTTTCCCCTGTCCAGCAGAAGATGCGGCCTCTGCCGTACTCAGTCAGGGAGGAAGTGAAGGCACACCTGGCAGACCTGGAGGCAAAGGGTGTCATCGAGAAGGTGGACTCGTCACCTTGGATATCTCCGATGGTGGTCACCAGGCGCCGCACCGGCGGAATCCGGGTATGTCTCGACCTGAAAAAGGTAAACCAAGCGGTCATGCCCAGCAAGTATCCGCTACCTGACATGATGGATATGCTCGATAAGCTTAAGGGGGCTGCAGTGTTCTCGAGCTTGGATATGAAGTCTGCCTTCAATCAGCTTCCACTGCATGAAGAGTCCAGAAATTTGACGGCCTTTATGACACCTGATGGGCTGAGAAGGTACACCCGATGCTGTTTTGGTTTGTCCTCTATCCCGGCAGCTTTCCAGAAGGTGATGGACAACATCTTGGCTGGACTGTCGGGGGTCCAAGTCTACGTCGATGACATCATCATCTTTGGTGAGAACCAGGACCAGCATGATGCTCGTCTTCAGCAAGTGTTGGCCAGGCTAAAGGAGTACCAGGTAACCCTGAACGAGGAGAAGTGCACCTTCAGCACCACATCTCTAGAGTTCCTGGGCTTCACTGTCACGAAGAACGGCTTCAAGGTGAGCGAGAACCGCGTCAAGGGTATGCGGGACATGAAGTCGCCCAGCACGGCTAAACAGCTACAGTCGGCCTTGGGACTGTTCGGCTTCTACGCCAGGTTTGTGAGCGACTTTTCCACACTGGTGGATCCACTTCGGGCCACCCTGAAAGCAGAGCGTTTCCAGTGGACGCAGGAGCTGGAGACTTGTTTCAGGGAAGTTATCTCCAAGATCATCAACAGCTCAGCGCTCACGATGTACGACCCAGATCGACCGACTGTCGTGACATCAGACGCTTCGGATGTAGGCCTCGGAGCAGTGCTGAGTCAGATCTACCCCGAAGGTGAGAGAGTTGTTTCTTTCGCATCAGCCACTCTATCAGACACCCAGAGGAAGTATAGCGTTACTGAGCGGGAGGCCCTTGCGGCCAAGTGGTCAGTTGAGCACTGGCATAAGTATCTTTTCGGAACCCACTTCACCTTGCGGACGGACCACCAAGCCCTACAGTCGCTCTTATCATCAAAGGGGATTGGTAGGGCAGGAATGAGGCTGTCTCGATGGGCAATAAGACTCATGGCGTATTCGTTCAGTGTGGAGCATGTTGGTGGTTCCAGAAATGTTGCAGATGGCCTCTCCAGACTGCCAGCCTCGACACACACCCCAGAGGATGACGACCAGCTGATGGTGGCGGCGATCACTGACAGGATCGCGCGTAAATCTGCGGTAACCAGAGACAGCATACGAGCGGCAGGCGCTGAGGACGAGGAATTGACCAGACTGTGCAGGCAGATCGTGTCTGGCTGGCCAGCTCGCTCGAAGGACTGCCCAACAGACCTGCAGCCGTACTACAGGTTCAGAAATGAGCTTACGGTTGTCGAAGGCCTCATACTCCGTGGCGAGAGAATCGTCGTCCCGTCCGTACTACGGCAACACCTTCTGGAACAGGCCCACGAAAGCCATCCAGGCATCGTCAGGACTAAACAACGCCTACGGGAAATCTTCTGGTGGCCAGGTATGGACGCGGCAGTGGAGAACATAGTGAAGTCATGTACAGTATGTGACGCTGTTGATAAGAGTGCGAAGCCGCGCAACATCCTGCTTCAACCGGTTCCCTTCCCGGAGAAACCCTGGTCTAAGTTGGGAATCGATTTCATCGGACCGCTAGAAGGAGGGGGAATAGGTAGAAGATTCGCCATTGTCATGACAGACTACCACTCAAAGTGGCCGGAGGTGGCATTCTGTCCGCACCCCTCATCCCGCGCAGTAATCAACTTCATGGAGACAGTGGCTGCGAGAGAAGGGTATCCAGAGGAGCTGGTATCTGATAATGGCACTGCGTTTACATCTCATGAGTTTACAGAGTATCTGAGTGAAGTTGGAGTCAAACATATTCGGGTCACCCCATACCACCCAAGAGGGGCAGGAGCAGTGGAACGATTTAACCGTGTGCTTAAAGGTGTCCTACAGACAGCTACTCTTGAGGGACAGGACTGGATGGTAGCTGTGAGGCAGTATCTGCTTCAATACCGGGTGACATCGCATGCCACAACCGGCCGGAGTCCCGCAGAGTTGCTCCGTGGTCGACAGCTACGCACGCCTCTGCGAGCAGCAGCAGATGGTCAGCACTGGTTTGTGACCAATGAACAGGTGAGAGCCAAAGTTGAAAGACAACAGGCTAAGCAAAAGTTATACTGGGACACAAAGTTCAGCGCTAAGGAGAACTGTTTCAAAGTTGGAGACTATGTACGCTACAAACTGATGCCTAAGCCCAGGAAGGGATGCCCCAAGTTCTCAAAGTCATTGGAGATTGTGGAGGCTAGAGGTTGTCATTCCTTCTTGCTGAGTGATGGTACCTTGGTTCATGGAGAACGTCTAGTTCGCTCAAGTACCTTGTCTGAAAGTGCAACCCCTCTGGCAGGAGCGGACAGGGTGGAAGGTGTCGAAGCAGTCTGCAAGGATGGTTCATCTACTGCGGACCAGCCATCGAGGATGATGGCAGGAGCCTCACAAGAGAGGATGATGCGACCTCCAGCAGCAGAAGTAACCCCGTCGGGCGGCAGGATCGAGGAAGTCCCTTCAACAGGGGACGTGTCAAACAGGAGTGCAGCATCGGAGGTGTCGGGTGATCAGCAGAGTGATGACCCCGCGCCTGAGCGTAGATCGGGTAGAGAAAGGAAACGGCCCAAGAGGCTCATTGAGGAGTGTGGTTGATGCGTGATACTGTGATTGATGCATAAGGTGATGGGCACATTGTAATGGTGTTTTCTGTTGGCATTCATTACTAGTTTCTTGCTTTGTTTCTAAGGGAAGGGGAATGTAGTGTTTGCATGTTGAGTTCATGGTGCTGCCAAATAAAGGTATTTCCCTATGTGGCAGCAATGGCACATTGGTGGCGCACACGTGACAATTGTGGTACGGTTTTGGCGCCAAGAGTTGACCTCTGGTGACCGGTGACCTGAGGTCAACAGACTGGTCTGGAGTGTGGCTGAAGAAGCATTGATACTGTTGCTATTTACCTTGTTATTAATATACCATGTAATTGTCAAGACTTGATTGTGTCAAGACACTACATGCATGCTACGACAGCTAAGTCTGTTTTGAGGAATACAGAGTAAAACATCCCCTACAGCCACCTCTCATAGCGTAAATGAACAGCTTCTGGTGTAAAGGCCTGGCTACACTATGCGTTTTCTACGTGCGTTTTTTGCGGGTTTGCGGGTTTTGCGTGATATCGTTCTAGAAAAATAAACGGTATTTACGTTTTTGTGATGTTTTTATATTCAGTTTTAGTTAATATAAGAGTTATATTAACTTTTGAATATAACTAATGCAAAAGTTATATTATTTTCAACTTTTTTCTAGAACGATATCACGGAAAAAACGCAAACCCGCAAAAAACGCACGCAAAAAACGCATAGTGTAGCCAGGCCTTAACTGTGTATGAAGTGGTGACCTAACAGTAGTTTTTGCACCTTCTAAAGAAAGCCGGAACTCCCTGCGTACGTGGGTGTGGAGCTATGACTTGTTTGAGCGAGCGTGTTGGCTGTTTTGTGTGCAGAAACAACTCTGTACAAAATCGTGCCCGTCTTCAGCTGCCATATTGTGAGTGTATTTTGCATGGCTGGGGATATTTAATAAATAATGCAAAAATCGAGGGTTGAATATTACTTTGCAGCGGCTAAGACAACGAAACAAAATGATGGTTTATGTCTCTAAAGGAATCAGAAACTCAGAACGAACGGAATTCACAAAGGATTAAAATGATCAATATCCATCTTTTTTAAGGTTTTTAGGACCGAAAGTGCACTGACTGACTTATGACAATAATGTATTCATATGGTCATCGGCAGCTGGCGGTAAACGGCCGGCCGCTGCGCACTCCGGACACTATCACGTATAGGGGCGGTGGCAGACGCGCGGCGCCCCGCGGGTCCCGTGCTCCAGGTCAACGCTAATCGACGGGACGCGCCGGCCGCCCGGCGTCTGCCCGCCAGCTCCGACACAGCTCAGCGCTCACCGAGAAACTCATCCAAAACGGGCACACACACCACGACTGACGCATTCTCACGTGTAGCACTAACTCACTTACACTCGCGGCTCACCCACTGGCACCACCCAACTCACGAGGCCCAGCCGTCTGGCGTGTTCACGCGGTCGTAGCACCGTCCGCCCGCGCCAGGAATTGAACCCGCGCCGCCAGCTCACTGTCCCAGGCACACTGCACCGTCTCCCACCTCTGGTACGGCGGCGGGGCGCGGGGTTTACTTCTTCTTGAGTCGGTCGGCGCTGGCGTCGAACTGGTCGTCGTTGATGTTGAGCATCAGCGTGCCCGTGTTGAGGTAGACCTTGTTCTGTGACTGGGCGATCTGTGAAATACCAGAGAGTGAAATCAGACGAAGTCCAACCGAACACGCCTCACACAGGCCATGGGATCTAAAAACGAGTTACGATAGATGAGTCCTCGAGAAAGCTTTTCAATCGTATTGGCAGAAATATGCTTCCCATCCACATGGTGTTGTACCTTTTCTCAAAATGTTGGGTTCTAGCAAAAAAAAAAAAAGGCGAGAGGCCGACTTTCGCTACTAAACCATCGAATAAAAAAAGCCTCAAAAAGTTAAATAGATAGCGCAGCAACACAAACGTACCGTGCGCGCGATGTTCTGCGCGGCGCGGATCTTCCTCAGCTTCAGGTAGCCGGGATTCTCGCTGATCGCCTTACCAACGTGCGGCCGAGTCAAGGAACATAACACCAAAACCAGACCGAACCAGTCACTACCAGACAGTCGTCAGATTACCAAAGATCTCGTCACCCGAGTCGACCGCCCTCTCCCGGTCCCCTGTTCTGCCTCGTCTCCCCTCCCCCCCATGTCACAGGCCGCCACGGACCGTCCTCAGACACCACAGAAAAATCAGCCCCGGCAGTTACGTTACAGTGGCGCCATCGGACGGCCGCGCTGGCAGCTGTATCTCTCCAGCTGGCCGATATGTGGCGGTCCTGTCACACTCTACGTGCGGCCTTACAGCGGAGGGCGAATCTCAGGCCAACCGCCAAGATTTCACACGATAGTGACGTAGGCAGAGCAGAGCCGGGAGGGGCGGAACGACTACAGAGTCGGATTCGCCTTTGTTCATCATTCGGAGAGTGAATCAACTCAGAATGCCTAATCTGGCACCTCATGAAAGAAATAGTTCATCATCGCGAATGCATAAATAAATTTCCTTTCCGTATAACCTTTTGTTATATTAGTGCCTACATAAAATTAGAAATTGTAGCATCTTTAAATCATCTGATAAATCGACTACCATTATTTAATCATCTCCACTTGGCGCCCTTTTACATGCCAATAATGAAAATCTGATCTCGAACGATAAGAAAAAAAAGCAATTATCTAACTTAGGAAGATCAACTATTTCCTTTGAGGCACAAAACGTTGTCCCACATTGCAAGGCGATGCTGTGCAATACGGTGGTATGCGGCCACCACGCCCCGCGCTGCGGCGGTCGTGTGATAAAGGATATCATCTCGGCGGCCTCGGTTTCTCCCTCGGCCTGCACGATCTTCTGCTGCCGCTCCTGAATGGCCCGCTCCACAATGAACGCCGCCCGCTGCGCCTCCTGCTGGGCGACCTGTGAAACACAAACAGTAGGTGTCAGAGACAGATGGCAGCTGACGGTCACCGCCGCTTTTGACAGTTTTTAAATCACAGCCCGTCGGCTTCAGATACACATGGCAGCACGAATTATTGCTACTACTGCTGGGCTACCTAAACGCAGTCATTCAGTGTCAGAGAAAGATCGCATGACTGTTCACTGTTCAACATCTACTTGGATCTACATATCTGCTAGTTGCGAGCAGATACGCTGCATCTTCCACACGTCCTTGACGTCACATCCACACATTCCCTTCCACTTATTTGGATATGCAGCACAGACCAGGCCCATGCAACAATCTCAGCTTCTGTACCTGCTTGGCCTCGACGGCGGCCGTGTAGTCCTTGCCGAACGTCAGGTCCGTGATGGAGACGTCGTCCACGATGACGTTGAAGTCGCGCGCCCGGTCGGTCAGCTCGCGACGGATCAGCAGTGAAACCTGGCAGGCAATAGTAGAGTTATATAAGCGACCGGAAAGACCTGTGGGACAGTGGGACATGTCCACTATGGATCTAAATTTCTTATTATTGATGCGAACACTTCAATTCTTGAAGAATTAAAGCGTTTTGGCTATTCATATTTATTTCATAGCGGGGGCTTTGTCCTTGTGAATCCCTCACTGCAAAAGGTTTGGACTAAAACTAAAAAAATTGTACCTAATGCAAGACAGCTACATTACATTAACGACAGCACCTGCCGTTCATCACTGCACTGAGTGCACATCCAAGCATCGTATTATCCGCACCCAGCCATTCCCTAGGAAAAAGAAAACAGGATGGTATACGAGGCTCACCTGTGACCGCTGGGTGATGAGCTGAGACGCGTTGAATTTGGCCACCACGGACTTGAGCACCTCGTTACAGATGGAGGGCAGCACCTTCTCGTCATAGTCGAGCCCGAGCTGCTGGTGGATGCGCGGGATCTGCTGGGCATCGGGCCGCGCCAGCACTCGCAGCGAGATGTTGACCATCTGCAGGTCCTTGGAGCCGGTCGGCGAGGACAGCTTGCGGGGCCGCGACCTGCGTACCGGGAGAGAGAGATTGTCAGAGATGGTGGGAAGAAGAGGCTGGGTAGTGTCAATATAAAATGCTGAAAGAAAATAATGGGGAGTGAGAGCCGTGCCCGCGTCAAGAGAGAAAAAGACCTCGAAAGAGGGAAATAGCCGACATCACACTGTTCCAATATTTGCAAACAAATAATTTGTATGTCTGGTGTCGAGTAACTGCTTCTGCTAGCATATTAACCAGTACAGCGCCTTTTGGGGCGACTAACGGAGCGAGCGAGGGGGTGAGTCTTGCACGTGCGAAATTTCGAGGGGGTACCTCCAACTGACTTGTGCACGGCACCCTACTGACTGGTCTCTAGCGATGTGCCAAATTTGGGCACAATCGGCCCAGCCGTTCTCGAGATCTGGAAGCGGCACCCTGCACGTGCGCACGTGCAAAATGGGTCCCAAATGACTTGTGCACGGCACCCTAGTAACCGGTCCCTAACTCATGTGTACCAAATTTGAGCGCAATCGGTCGAGCCGTTCTCGAGATCTGGAAACGACCCCTGCACGTGCGCACGTGCAGCGGCACCCCAACTCTGGCACATGGATATGCAGTGCCTAGTGGGTGCCTACCTACATGCCAACTTTCAGCGCAATCGGCCAAGTAGTTACCGAGATATTGCAACAATTACAAAACTGACACCTCTTCGTTTTGCACGTGGCACGTGCATAAGGGGTCACCTATATGCATCGGGAATAGTCCAATACTTGGTAGAAGGAATGAAGCTACCCTACAAAAATTACCGCATGTAAATCGGTCAAGTGGTTGCTGAGATATAAGCCTCGCAAAAGCGTCCGCACGGCCGGCCGGCCGGCCGGCCGCTCATACTCAGAAATTTCCGTTATTCTACGTAAGACTCCGCTCGCTTCGCTCGCTCCGTAATCATTTTAGACAGTACTGATAGTTCACGTTGCAGTAAGAAGGAAGTTGAATAGGTAAAACTTAGTCACAAATCGTAATGCATCAGGCTGTTCGTTGTAGCTACCTAACAGTACGGTTTTTTTTTTTTGCAGAGAACGGCCGGATCAGGCAATGACATCACGGCTATATCACGGACAAAGACCTACGGCAGGAAACCGCTCATTTTCCGCAACAATCTATTCATCCCCCCTTCCCCCCCCCCCAGCGGTCCAATTATCGGACACCTACCGAATGTCATAGATGATGGGGTACTGGAACCAGGGGATGCGGAAGTGCAGGCCCTCTGTGTAGATGCTGTTCTGGATGCCGCCGATCCTGCTGAAGATGATGGCACGGTGACCACCGTCCACTGCGGCAGGCCGGGTCACGGCAGGTCAGTGGTGACTCGAAAGGTCAGAAAAGGTGAGTGGTTCAAACGACAGACATCGAGATGATGGGTCGCACCTGCGTACACTGCGCGACCATTGGCAGTAAGGGGCCGTTAAGCGAAACACGATCTGCAAATGAAACTACGTCAATCAATTGCCCATCGCCAGAAGCCAGCGAAAACAGGTAATCAATTATTTTCTGTTGCATTAATTAATTGAAATGTGACGCAAACACCACAACCACTGCATTTCCCTGACACGTCTAACCAGTGCTGGAAATGAGGCCGCTTTCTGGTCCCGGCGTTTTATTCTCCTCGCGGGTTAATCCCGTCCAGCGTTTAGCCTTTCGGGCCCCACTCAGGAGCGCTGTTCGGCGGCCGGCTAGCGCGCTAGCCCGCGCACACATACGTGCACGTTGCCCCGGCAACGGGCTATTGACCAATGAGAAGCGCGCTACGGGGGGCACAGGTATATGAAAAATCGCAGTGACGTTGCACTTTCCTCGCTTCTCATTGGTCAATAGCCCGTTGCCGGGGCAACCAGCACGTATGTGAGCGCCGGCAAGAGTACTAGCCGGCCGCCGATCAGGGCCAGGGTCGCGGTTGTTTTCGCCGCTCGCCTCAGTCGAGATGCAAAGTTAATAGTCACACGAAGCTTATTTAGGGCCAGCCAAACCAGTCTAGTCTGGAGTTACTGTTAAATGTATGCATATAGATGAAAGAAAAAGGTTTTGTAGAATCAATTAATTTCGAAGTCGTATATTCAGAAGCCCCAAATAAACTTCGTGCGACTATCAACTTTGCATCTCGAATGGGCCGAGCGGCGAAAACAACCGCGGCACTGAGAGGGTCCCGAAAGGCGAAGCGCTAGATGGGGCTAACTCAACCGGAGAATAAAACGCCGGGACCAGAAAGCGGCCTCATTTCCAGCACTGCGTCTAACCGGCCAGGACAGACCGGCATTGCCGGTATTGTCTTCATCTTGCTGTCAATATTTGAGCTAAAAAAAGCAGAAAAATTAATGAATCGATAGATAAGTATTAGGTAATACAAAATATTCTGACATATTATGGGTTGTAATGATAAGGTATTATTATCAAAATGCAATGTTTATGTTTGATTTACAAACACACGCTCCTAGGCGTTGGAACGGGGAGGGCACCGGGCCACCGTGCCCCCTTTGATTTTGCCATTTTAACATAAGCCCTATGGGCATTGCATGGAAAGAATGGGATCAAAAGCGCCCCCCTTAATTGAAGGTGTTCCGCTGCTAGGTACTCCCCGGTTTACCGTAGTCCAACATTGAGGCATAACTTTTTTGTGGTCTAAAGTTGGAACTTAAAATTGAAGCATCTGAAAATGATTGATATTAATCGTAAACATGATTTTGATGAAAAAATATGCTTGGTTGAAAAAGTAGACCATTTGACCAGCCACTGCCTCAGGATTAAAGTAGACCTTTAATCCTGAGGCAGTGGCTTAACCCTTGAATTTATTTTTGCTAGACAAGATCGTGATTTCCTAGCTAAGGAGTAAAATCAGCCACATCATTGCCAAAAATGGCAGATCATTGTCATTTTTGGCATGTGTGCCAAAAATAGCATGTGCTAAAAATGACAGCGATTGACCAAACCTCCCCCGATCGGTATTGTATTTTTCTCAGTCTTGCTGATCACACTGTCTATTAGGTCGTCTAGACAATCAATTGAAAACACTGATTTTTTCAATCATGGTAACTTTGCTGTGACACCAAATTCTAGCATTTTCTTACCTGTGTATGTTGCCTGTGAAAGTCCGTAGGCTGCCGCTCCTCCAAGTCCAAGGAGCTTCAAACCAAGCCCAAGACCCTTTGGAGCTTTTCCCAACTGTCCAGCGATGTTATTCATCCTAGTATTCCTTTCTGAGACCTACTCTATCTCAGAAGCAATGAGAATCAAAAAATAATTTTCAGAAACGCGTTGGGTGTCAACTTGCAGCACGCCGACGAGGCAATTTTGACGCAAAAGAACGCCGCGCACGTCGTAAAACAAAAGAAGCATGTGCGTTGAAAATGTATTTGAAATAAAATATATCATCAAAAACAACAACACTTTTTTATTTAATCGTACTTTCAAGCAAAGCTTCAATATTAAATTGATTGAATATCTCATTGAAAACATTTTTATTTAAAAAAAAAACGAAAATGCTACAAAGGTGATTGCTAAGACGCTGCTACTATATTTTATAATACAGGACTGAAGTGTGTAAAATGTAAAATCAATTCAGGGGCTCAGTCAAGGGGGGAGATGCTGTACTGAAATCCTGAAAAGTCAGATATCCACTCCCAATATCCTGACCATCTAGCGCCTTCCTCACCTTCAGCGCCACGGGTGGATATTTGTGCGGAGCTGGGAGGGCCCGGGCGCAGCAAATCCGCCGCCGCCCTAGCGGTGACCTTGACCTCCGCGGTCTGTTGCGGCTCCAAAGCCAAGCCGGCGTCGAGTTTGGAGGGCTCGGGCCTCGGACCCTCCCAGCTCGGCACAAGGTTCCACCTATGTAATCAGCGCCCTTCTGTCTGTTTGGCGCCCTTCTGATCTGTCGGCGCCCTTCTCGCCCTTTAGCGCTCTCTGGCCTGTCGGCGCCCTTTTCACATTCGGTTCCATAGGCGCGGGAGCCGGGGGGGCAGTGGGGGCAGCTTGCCCCCCCCCCAACTCTGGGGCCGTGGGGGCGGTGCCCCCACAGCTTTGAGACGGAATACCACACTTTTTTTTGCAAATGTTTTCTTTTTTGTTGAAAAAGCCGAGGGGTGAAAAATAAGTGGCCTAAAACCGGTGAGAAAACTAGATTTGGGGGTACCCTAGGTTAATCTCTATTATGGTGTGCCCCCCCAGTCGGAAAGTAGTTCCCGCGCCCCTGTTCGGTTCCCTACGGGCTGACCAGTCGGCGCCCTTAGTCCTCATGGACATTATCACACAGCATTCTCCTGATCTGTCTCGCCCTCCACACATGTCAGCCTCAGCACCCTCCTGACCTGGCAGCGCCCTCCTTATCCGGTACCTATTACAGCGCAGGGGCGCGGGAACCGGGGGGGGGGGGCAGTGGGGGCAGCTTGCCCCCCCCCCCATCTCTGGGGCCGTGGGGGTGGAAACCCAACAACTTTGTGGCGGAATACCGCACTTTTTTAAGACGTTTTCTTTTTTTGAAAAACCCACTAGGGATGAAAAATAGGTGTCCTAAAACCGGTGAGAAAACTAGATTCGGGGGTACCCGTCCCTAGGTTGATCTCTATTAAGGTGTGCCCCCCCCCCCCGTCTGAAAGTAGCTCCCGCGCCACTGTTTTAGCGTCCTCCTCACCGTACAGCACCCTCCTGACCTGTCACCATCCTCTTCACTTTAAAGCGACCTCCTAACCACACAACACCCTCCAGACCGGCGCCCTCTACGTTCAGCGCCTCCCCCTCCCCCCCCCCCCTGACAAGTCGGTGCCCTTTTAACCGTAGAGGGCCCTCCTGACCTGTCGGCGCCCTCCTGACCGTACATCGCCTTCCTCACATGTTTTTTTTTGGGGGGGTTAGGCCCCTTCGGTCTGACAAGACCATTTCAGAGCCGGACGGGGATGAAAGGATTAGGGGGAGACATTGGCCTGGGCAGGCACCCTAGAGAGTCGCCGGGGCTGCCGGCTGAGCCCTTCCGAATGGACAGGCCGACCAGCCCCCCAAACACTCTCTGCACCCGGCTACGGGGTGCGCTCCCTCGGGAGCAGCCCGCATGAGATAAAGGTGTCTCAGCCTGTCCAACCCGGAGTGGGGGTTGCGACGTGGAGGAGAAGGATTTCAGTATCCAGAGGATGGAAGCGACGAAATGGAGGATTTCTCACATGTCCGCGCCCTTCTCTTTATACAGTGCCCTCCTGACCTGTCACTGTCAGTTGGGGCATTCCACGTCAAATCAAACACCGAAATCCGTCATCCCCTTCGATTTTTCTGAAAATTTGTAGGCAGACTGGGCATGGTTCAAAACTGAGTTACGTATAATATTTTCGAAATTTGATAACGTATCGCTGAGATATAGGTCATCGAATATAGCTAAAAATGCCACACATCATTTTTTTAAATGGCTATAACTCTGGTTTCTTTTCTGGTATCAAAATGATATTAACAGGGTCTTATAGGCAATTGATGAGGCTTTGCTTTTTAATTATAAAATTAAATTGAAGTGACCTTGAAATGCATTTGACCTTAAATTAAAACAGAAAAATTTAAATAGCAAAAAACACGTCACCTTCGATTTGGGTAATTTTTACATATTATGTCCGTCACAATGTTCCTAACCATCTGTGAAAAAAAATGGAGTGGGCCATTCATAACTTTCGCGGCAAACGCCGTTTTCATGCATCAACATCACGCAACCGCGCGTGACCTTGAAAGACAGAGTCAAGACATGCTTGCTTGTGCACACTTTCTGAAATGAATGATTGCTGATTAGTGATATCCCAAACTCTGCGAGAATGGAAATGCATAGTCATCGTAGTCAAGCATTCACGTTCCATAGTAAAAGTGTCTCAGGCAAACGGTATTTTGCGGTGAATTTTGAGCCGTGTGGAAATGCATCATTAAGTAAATTCAACGAAAACATTATCACGCAACGATATCTTCATGTCTTTTGATCTTCACTATACGAAAGAACATACATTTTTTAGTATGTATGGGGAATTTCTAGTTAACCTTCGCCCTGGTGGGGGGGGGCCATTTTGGCCCCCCCCTGTGGTTTTTCAGCGATAACTCAGAAACCACTTGAGTTAGCGCCCTGAAACTTTGTATAGCTGTTTATTCAACATTTTTACATCATGTCCTTTTTTGGGGGGTTCGGGTCAGGTCAGGTCAGGTCACAAGGTCACCAAAACTGACACCACCTCTAAAAAAGTTCAAAGCTCTCTCAAAGGCACAGCTTTTATCCGATCGATGTAAAATTTACAGTACTTGAAGATGTCACCCAGCTCTACAAAATGGCTATCTCGGATTTTTTATAAATGTGACCTAAGGTCAGGTCAGGTCATCGCTGCTCCCCATTATAAGTCAATGGGAGAATCGAAAAGTAGTTGTTTTTCAGCTAAATCGGGCGTGATTGTTCCTATATTTCGTTATTGAAGTGTCTTGGGTCAGCAAATCACAGCCCATGTGAAACCATTTGCTTGTGACCTCGCTGAGGTCACGCTAGGTCATCTCCCTGGTCACCAGAGGTCACCAGCGGTTTTTCTGCACTTACTTGTTATTGAATAGAGATAGAGACTCCGTTCGACGTTTATCGTGTTTGTCTCGTCAATGCGGATCGAATGATATGCAGCATGACCTATTTCGGTAAGGTCATGACCTTGACCTGAGGTCAAATTTTCAAAATGACCTTTCGAGGTCAAACTATATATCATTCGACGCGTCTCGACGAGCCAAGCACGATGGTGCATGAATCGTTTCTCTATTTTCTCGTGAATGCATGCTATAGTTAAAAACATTTTCAACGAAATTTGCCAAGTTGACCTTGCATGACCTCTGTAGGCCAAACCGTTGAGCTGAGGTCAAATCTGACGAACCTTGGCGAAAGAGCTTGAAAAGAGCTATCGATTGCTTTTTTCCGCGGCTCTCTAGCTCTTCTAGTTTCCGAGCTACAGCGGAATATGTCCGGCAACACCGAAAACACTGAAATTTGACCTATGATGACCTCTAGCGACCTCAATATTGACCTTAGCGAAAAAATGACTGAAATACTTTCGAACGTACTTGTTATGGGCTTTCGTTTGCTTTTTTCCGCGTCTTCCTAGCCCTCTTCGTTTTCGAGTTAGACGGGGGGGGTCATTTTGGCCCCCCCCCACCAGGGCGAAGGTGGCTCAGACCCACACCAGGGCGCGGGTTAATCCAATAATAAATATGGCAGTTAGAGGCCTGCTAAGAGTAACATGTCGCCGGCTGAGGCGGGCTCGGCCGATGCTGGAAACGCAGCAATCACAATTTTGTGTTTACACGTTCATATTTCAATTGTTTACAAACCGATTTTCAAAACTCTTTCACCATAAGATTGCCTGTACATTTCTTAGTCTTCTCACAAAATTTGACGCGAATCGAACGTAATCAGCGGCAGGGAGCGCGATGTAAAGACGGAACCGTTTCGTTCCGTCCCGGCACAGTCTACAATTCAGGCGGCGCGTAACGGTCGGCGCCGGCTGCCGAGTCGCCGCGTCGCTGCGGCGACAGGATGTTCACTTTACACCGCTATTACTAGAACAGTTGTGAACTGATTTTCTTATTGCTTGCACGATGAGATGTCCAATTCAATTCTTGACAGGTAGCCATAATTAATTTCGCATTAATCTTATGAGATATTGGCGAAAAACAGGAGGGGTGGGCGAAATTCGCTCTTCCCCCTCCACTGCGCGTGCTAACATACGTTTGCATATGTGCAATTTTCTTCAAAACTTATGAATGGCCCACTCTAATTTTTTCACAGGTTGTTAAGAATATGGTAGGCAATAAAATATATGAAAATGAGCCAAATCGAAGGTGACGTGTTTTTTGCTATTTCAATATTTGTGCTTAAGAACAAAGTTAAGCAAGTTTCAAGGTCATATATTTAAGTAGGTGCAATTCTAAACAAATGCTTAAGAAATTACCTAAACAGTAAGGTTTATTTCATTCAAATCAAACAAGTACAACCAAAGTTATGGTCGTTCAAAAATATAAAGATGCAACATTTTGTAAAAATTTGATGCCCTATATTTAGAAGACCTGTGGTCAGAATGTGCAAAAAACATCAATGTAATGTCTGGGGCCACACAGGAACTCGCTCACAAATTTATAATGAAATCGCTGATGGTAAGGTGCAAAACAGCCGATTTTTGTTCGATTTGACGTGGAATGCCCCAGTTGCCCTCTTCACTCGTATAGTGCCCTCCATCCTCCTCACCATACGGCGCCCTCCTGACCTGTCGGCGCTCTCCCCATCATATAGCGCCCTGCTGACTTGACGGCAGGGCGCTATGTGATAACCTAAGTAGCAGTTTGCAGAGGGCTGAGTACCTACAGTTCACCTCCTCCCAAAAGAGGTAGGTACTAACACAGTTCAGTGTTCACCCCATGTTACATGGCACAAATGTACTTTCAGTGACAAAATTTATTTTGAAAAAAATGAATGAAACAAAGCATGAAGACGACAGGCATCATAAACGCAGTCTTAAGACCCAACACTTGGCTATACAAAATCTCTCTCCAGACACACAACTGAACCTATGCATGTACTTACCTATACCTACATAAAATGGTGCTAAAATGCACCAAAATATATCCTCTTACGGTTGATTAGGTACTGAAACATCTAATCGTAGATGACAAACTATTTGACACAATATGGTCACAACTCAGTAGAAGTTTGTAAACTCACTACCGAAACTAACAAACTACATCGTACGCTTACCAGCACAGTACAAGGCAGGAAGGCCCCGATTAACAGCCTATTTACGTGTCTCACATAGCGAATAGCGATCATCGGATCACTGTTGCCATATGTAGACTTCACTATCTTCACATCGTTGAATGGGACAACGTCAGCTCGAGATGCACTTCGTTGTCATGGCGACCACCGGCGTTAGATTTACGCGGTCGCCATTGCTCTGTGCAGCGGATCGTCGTTTTCCTTGGACTTCTTCGGGTTACGCTTCTTGGTCTTGATCTTCTTCAGCGTTCCAGGGTCGAGGCAGTGCGGCATGATACCTGAAAAGGGCAAAACAGTCACTTAGCATGCTGCTTTCGATAAAATTCCGTCCTACCAAAACACTGGGACTGTTAGAACTTAAAAAACAAATATGAGCAGTCAAATACGTTTCAATACATCTACCCGTTTTGATCTCGTAAACATGTCAGACAGTTCAGCGCAATACCCGTCAAAACTGACACGCCTCTAACACCGGTTGCACTGACGGGTTGACGCTGATTATGGGCCCTGTTCGTTCACGTCTCAGTCGGAGCTCGCTGTCTCTCCCCAGCCGGAGATCACGGGGACTAACAACGTCTATGGCGTGATGACTGTGCATGCACGGAGCTCACGTGTACCGGCTGTAAATACGAACAGCATGCACAGCCGGCGCCGGTGCAGGGGTGGGTCACGCCCGTCCGACCCGCCCGCCCGCCCGCGTGGTAGGTACCGACCAAGGTCAGAGGTCGACTCCGCCGCCCGCCATTTCCACGGATTGAGAGACAATGGTTCTGGCGATAAGGTAACACCTCTGTCAGGCACCTTGTTCGCCATGGTCTGCCGGCTGCGATGATTCAAACCCGAATGGGCCTGGTCCCCGATGGTTGACATTTGTCAACACCGCCCGCATTGCTTAGAATCCGGTGCGTAAACATAACTTGTCGGACAAATATGCTAAAACGGTGGAATGGAAGAACGAACATTGACTCGGGCTCCGCTAATTGCTAAAGGGGGAGATGGGAGCATGTCACCTTCAGCGTTTTCTCTTTTATGTGCCTTTCTGCGTAAGCTGACAGCATTTGCATGGATGCTGCCCTCCAACCGTGCATCTATAATCTATGCTGGCCTGGCCTGGCTGTCGGCATATAGGCATATTATCTGAGTTACCGAGAATGAGAATGCTCGAGAATATATATTGTCTGCATCGGAAGAGCTAACTCTCTAGTCTCTGATGACACGATTCTGAACCTTCCTCTCTCCATTCCCGGTAAGTACACTGTTCTGCTGAGGTGTGCCACGTATGACCATATGCTCCAGACGTGCCTCACAGGTGTTTCCGCGACGTCCAGGGCCGACCGGTCGGCACTCGTGACCAGAAACCCTCTCCACTCCCCCACACCAGTTCAGCTAGCGGTGCCGCTTTTTGGACTGACCGCAAACCTTGGCCATGCACCACACTCCCTCCCCCGCTCTCTCGGCCCGCTCCTCCCCGGGAATCGTGACTCCCACGCCATCTTCGATCAAAACACCAACAGCTGACTCCGGTAGGGTCGCACCCATCTGCATTGTAATACGTTTTAGACCGGTGGATAAACTATAGGAACATGCGAGCTTCCCAAGGACCTCAGCAAATTTTCGGAGAATGCTCTACTGGAGTTTCTCAGAATCACGGCCGAGGTCATGAACTCACCGACTGAGTCTGTGTTATCGCCCGAGCTGGGAATGAAGAAGCTCTGTACGCCGCACGTGGTGCAGAACGAGTGTTTGACCTCGCTGGAGCCGAAGGTGCTCAGGTCGCCGTGGCCCTGCAGAAGCAGAAACCGCTCCGCATCCACCATAAAGTACCGGCTCTGACGCTTCTGGCAGATGTCGCAGCTGTAAACAGAAGAGAAATAGGTAGGGGAGAGTGGGGAAAGATGCCCAGGATTTTACTATGTCATATATTATTCGGAAATGACGATCGGAAAGCAAAAACTTGGAGTTTCAACGGAAGCCGACATCATTTTTCTCCAAAAATATCACACTTTCGTGCCTGAACTATGATAACTGTTTTTGCTATTAAGCATTTTCCTGAAGAAGTCAAAGGGGGCATCTTACCCCACAGGGTGGGAAAGACGCCCCCTGGCGTTGGGGAAGATGCCCCCTGCACTATAAGTGACATAAATGGGCACGTGAATCGCCTGAACGAATCAGTAGTCCCTTCGAGCCTGCAGTAGACACCAAACGTCATCGTAAGGGCCCTCAAAAGTGGTCGTAAGGGGCTTCAGAGGTCATCGTTAGGGTCATCATAGTCCAGCGCGGCCAAGCAAGCTTCCGTGGTGGCGTTCGGAGACCACTGTGGGGCCCTTATAGGTCTTCATGATGCTTGAGGGCCCTCGAGCCCATCGTGGGGACCTCAGATGCCAGCGCGGCCCGTGGAGCCAACGTGGGAGCCCTCAAAGGATGTCGTGAGGGGCCCTGGAGCCAATAATGGGGCCCATCGAGGCCGTCGTGAGGGCTCTCAGAGTCAGATGCCGCCCAAAAAGTCGCTGTGTGGGCCGAGAGACTGGCATGAGGAGCACCCGACCGTATTGGACTCTCATTAGTCTCAGATCGGCTTTTGTCTCTCATCACAAGCATGTAATAAATGATTTGACGGGCTGCTTGAAGGACAGCCTACGGATTTAGGGGGGCGTCTTTCCCCATCAGGACAGGGGGCACCTTACCCCAAGGTACCAAAGTAACATTAAATCAGTACAATTTGTTAGCCATAAGACTACACCCTTAAACAAACTGTTTGGGACACAGTACACGCATGTTAATGTATCACGACTATAGCAAGGGACGCAAAAATTATCTACCTTCTTTGATATTTACAATGTTTTGACACCAAAATATTTTTCGAAAGCAGACAATAAAAAACATGCATTCACCAGCCAGCCGCTGCCCAACTGAGCTTCGCAAATTTTTGTGCAGTTAACAAGGCAGGCTTCCGCTTTACGCTAAGAACATTAATTTCCGGGTCCAATTCTTTGTTTCGCCGCTAGAGGGGGTGGGGCGTCTTTCCCACCCTGGGCATCTTACCCCACTCTCTCCTATGTGAGGAATCGTAAAAATTCGCAATTTGCACCTAGCAAAGTTATTAATTCGTCATGCCTATAAATCAAAGTTTAAAGGACGTGAAATAAACCTGAAGGTCAAAATTTCAGCTGGGATTTGGAGGCGTTCGGCACTGTTTTATTCCTTACGTGAGCAAACTGACAATTCATCCGCTAGATGGCATTAGTATTCCGCGCCTGAACGTATGCTGTGCCGCAAGGCATTTAACTCGTCCCGAATTCCTTGCGTGGAATTCATTTGTGCATGACGGGGTCGCGGGACTCCTTTGTATCGCCAAAGAACAGTTCGGCCTAAGAAGAGCTTCCATTGTATCCAAACGAGCCGTTTTTTCCTGTTGCGACAGTTGCCACCTGCTGAGAATGACGCAACCGTCGCTCCGACTCTGACCAATGGACAATGACCATGACCCTCGCCGTCGGTTGCCTGAGGCGACCATCTCATGCGGGTGTCTCCAGATATCACGACCGGCGTCACCGCATCTCCGTGACTCTCCCTCCCCTCCCCCTCTCTCTCTCCGTCAAGGTCACCAGTCAGGGCAGCCAGCCGTGACCGGCTCGTCGCCTCGGGGCAGGAACCGCCGGAGGGCGATTACGTAACCGAGCGGCCGGCGACCTGGTGCTCGGTGCCGTGGGCCCAGCGGTTATATAAACACGGGCGGACCCTGACCTGACCGCGCCGGCCCGTGGGGAAGTGGCCGGGTACGGACCGTGAAGGCGCCGCGGGCACTAACAAGGTAACGGACCGGAAAACAGTGCGGCTACGGTGCGGGCGAGGTGTTCAGGGAGTGACGTTTTCCAAGCAGGCTTTGTAAATTTAGCCAAGAAAACATGTCAGTCGTGATATGTGGTAAAATATACCCATGTCGCAGACATTTAGGGGAACAAGCGAAAACTGCCCCCTAGTCCACCTTGTTACACTTAGACAAGGTGGTTGTTCACGCTTGTCCGTGAGGTCGTCATTACCGATTCGACGAACAACTATTTAGAATAGATAAGCTGCTGGCGATTAGAACTACAATTTCATGCGACAATGAGCCTAACCACAAATCGCCTAACCACGCCCAGATTCTGGAACCTGTCGCACCTGTGGAGAGTTTTTCTATTCGGACCAATGGCCTCCATCTCCCTTGTAAGCACACCGCGACCCACCTGCACTCGAAGACGGTGACCTGGGTCGGCGCGGTGACCTCAAATCTGACCCTGCCGCAGTGGCAGCCGCCCTTGTGTTTTCGGACACCCTCCATCATCTGAAACGGAGGAGCGGGCTGTGAGTCGAGAGTCGGGTGCTTCACGGATGACTCAGCAGTGTATGTGAAATCGGCCAGCGTTTCGGGTCGGTGGCGCTGTTGGCTTGTAGGCTTCAGTCGCGGACAGATTGGCGCGGGCAGTGCGAGCGTTGGAGACGAGTTACAGAAATGTGCCAAGAGTGCAAAGATGCCGAGTTTGGGAACGATCATTTTGTTGCTAAGGACCTGAATATTACACTATCCATGGGAACTGTGGAATAGTCTGATACGATCGGTCAGGATCGGGCTATTTGCCGAACGTATGACGTGAAAACAGCTAAATCGTGTTCTCACTAAATACTCTCAGCTGGCTGCATTCCGTAAATACCTAGTAATGTGAACATTTCTGTCAACGACCCAGATATTTTTTATGGGCTGTCGAGCGGTGCTCCGCCAGACGGCTGGGTGGGGCTTTAGCAGTAAACCATGCCCATTGCCCAGCTACCCCAACTAATTGGCAATTTTATCTGCCACACAAACGTTTCTCTGGACCGGCGAAGGTTGCCCGATTGTTCGGGTCGTGCGACTTTCAGTTTTTCTTCTGTATTGCCTGACGACCCGATTACACTGCTTGCAAGAGTCCCGTGAGGGGATACTGCTCTGACCTTTGACGGCATTCTAGTTCGCCCCACAAAAACAACATTATCGCTATCATCAACGCCAACCCGGAACCCGTTGACGACACCGTGCGACTCGTGCTGTCGGCCACGTGACCTGCACCCCCTGCGGCGCATTACCGGCGTATTGTTCCAACAAATGTCACGTGATGACCTGCAGGGTCAGGTGACGACCCGGGACAATATCGTCGGCAGCGCCCCGCGGCGACAGAGGTCAGGAAGAGAGAGGTCCGTGACAAGGGCTGGGGGCGGGAGGTGAGGGCTGGTAGTGTGTGCAGCTAACGGATTATTTAGTGGATAAGGTCACAACTGTCGTGTGCTGCTGCCGGTCTCAATGTCACCCAGTTCTTCACAAAGGCTAACGGACCGTGTGTTTGGGTTGTGTGAGTGAAGTGATGCAATAATGCATTCACCGCTGCAAGGCATATGGTCGGAACTCATATGTGGGGCAGTGACGGAGGAAATGCGTAATTAGTGACACTGAGGCTCTTAGGGAGTATGGTAGCATTTGCAACCAGCAGTCATCGGAAACGTCTCGACATAGCAAAACAGACAAAAAAAAAAGTGAACAAGGGAGATGTGCAGCAACTAACTGTCCATAATTCAGGAAAGGTATAGAGTTGTAGGGCTTAAATTATTTCACAATGCCATATCTAGATTCAAGCTGCGATAAGTGGTTTACCCCCCCCCCCCCCCCCAAAAAAAAATAGAACTACCGAGAACATGTTGTTTGGAGCCGAATAATGCGATCATTTTGCACCCTTTATATAAATTGAGGTGAGAAAAATTTCGTGCGTTACTCATTCTGGAATTGTTCAGGCCTCGACAGCTACAGAAAAGCATTGAGAAGCCGCCTACCGCACCTTGTTCATAAATCGCCTTGTAGATATTTTTATAATATTCCCCTTCGCTGAATTGGAGTGCTCACTTCACTGCACGAAGTGATCGAGTCACATGCCGTCTAAATGCCGTCAGCGATAGCGACAATGTCACGCGAACTGAAACCAATGAGATCGGCTTCTGGAATCGCTGTGATTTGCCCATACAATAAAATGTTAAGGACAATGCATATTTTCAAAATGCAGACAATAAGTCATCGCATTACTTCATCAGAAATAGCCTGCTTTTTCCAGTGCCATTCGTCGAAGACACGGATTTTCTCAGCACGGATATAGCAGTGCACCTGTCGATCTGACACACAGGGGTAGTGAACTTCCGGGGCATTTCCACGCGCCTTTTTCCGTCCGTGACCATACGTGTTCCAGTCGGGGGCAGCCGGGTGTGGTAAGACACGCGCTGGAGTTGTCGTTGAGACGGTGCGGCACGTGCAGCCCTGTGGCACGCGGGACACCATACATGTTTACGGCGAAGGCTGCTATCTGTGATGTTTGGTTGGGGATAAGAACGGATGCAGACGATCTTTGCATGCATATTTTTATGTTTCTTTGTAGTAGGTAGTTTTTTATGTGATGCACGTAGTCAATAAGAACTTCTTAAACACACTGTTAAGGCCTGGCTACACTATGCGTTTTCTGCGTGCGTTTTTGCAGGTTTGCGTGTTTTGCGTAATATCGTTCTAGGAAAAAAGTTATAAACAATATAATTTTTACTTTGGTTATATACAAAAGCTAATATAACTCTTATGTAACTAAAATTTAAGGTGAAAATCATCACAAAAACGTAATATCGTTCTTTTTTCTAGAACGATATCACGCAAAACACGCAAACACGCAAAAAACGCACGAAGAAAACGCATAGTGTAGCCAGGCCTTTACATGGTGACGTAAATATACACGCAGTGGATACACATTACACATCACACACTTGACAAAAATAGATGCAAAAATTATCAATCGTGTTGGTTCGGTCGTCTTCCTACAGGACGATAGGTACGTACTTAGTTTGAACGCACATGATCGGTCATTGATGATCTGCGTCCAAACTTAGTATCGAACTTCTTGAATAATCATTCTTACATCTTTTTTTTCTTTGCCATCACTGGGTGACCACGGCTAGTCAATGTCAGATATAAACATAATATGTGAGAAGCGGAAAGGATTAAGGATGAGAAGCAATAGCAACAAAGGAAAACAAGTAATTGTGCCCAGTCATGATGACTTGTGCCACAGACCCTTGTTTTGCAGACTATAGTGCAGAACCTTCAGATCGGATAATATCTGAAGTGACTCAGAAGACCGGTAGGAAAACAGCCACTACCTATCTATAGTTCTATACCGATCACGATAATGAAAACGCGAACGAGATATATACGTGTCTCCATAAAGAGAAGTCATGATCGGATCAAAGACTTCAAGGTCTACGTCTAGCAGAAACGATCGATGCATGTTAAACTGAAAACGCAAGGTATAATCCTTAAATCAGCACACTGAAAAACATAGTCCTTGCTGGGCTCGACTAACAAAAAGCATTGTGCTCACTGAGGTCAAATCATTTAAAATTTATTTAACACAAAGGTTTTAAGTTATTCATTTTGGCCACAACGTTAGATAGTGGCTTTTTTGGGAAGACGATGCTTTTAGAACGGCACCTGATGCGCATTCGGCACACCTAAAGACCTAAGGCTGTAGTAAATATAGCTGTACAAGGTATAGACGGTGCGTGACAACCATCGAAAACAGCCACTGTTGAGGGTCACTGGCCACCACAGCTATACACAGTTCAATAACACCCAACCAAACACGCGTGCTGTCTTCACCGCAGCCCTCGACAACCACATCAGCATCGCAAACAACTGATTCTGTCGCCCAGCCTAATTGCTGCCACGTGGCCTGGGCACAACACATGTGACGGACGGGGTCACCTCTGGCACCCCCGTGTGACCCAGCACGTCACTGCGTCACGGCCGCGGAACGTGACGCAGTGACGGGCCGTGACGCGCCACCTGTGTCGTCATCGTGAACATGGTGACTGGCGAGTCGACTGAGCCGGTCCATGGCAGGCAGCGAGGTATGGTAATGCTCATGTCACGTGTGGACTCAAAGGAAAATGATGCAGGGAGGTATAAGTCGGCAGGTCGGCAGTCCTTGGAGAATGAAGAGACTGGGATCGGACCAAAGACCTAGATCAAAGCGACCGCCAATTGGGTAAAAAGACAAAAAAATAATGCCTTTGATCAGCCAGTCTCGGCCAAGGCTATGTTATACACTTTATGAAAGACCTCAACTTTACATCTCCGACGTTAATTTTCAAAGCTACTGCTGTCTGCTATTTCGGTCAAGCGCACCGATCTTCAATGGCTGGCGGCTAGGGGATTGTAGCAGTCTGGGACTGACAATACAGCGGACGAACGATTCAGCTACTTCTCTCGGCCATATCAGTTGGTGACATACCAGGGAAATAAGCTAAAATTAGAGCGCTCTATTTATTGCTCCTGCCCCATGTTGAAGAGATACCCCTAAAAGCGTGATCTTTTATCGGCCCTTACGCAGCAAGGCAGTAATTCTCAGACCGGTGGATGGTATCAATAGAAAGAGAATGCGTCAAAGATTAACATGAATTAATTAAAATAACATTAAAATGTTAATTAAGCGTGGAAATAAGTCCCAAACATAAGCTAATTATTGCTCCTACCTCGGCGACGGCGCTCCCCGCAGTCGGCGGAGAAGCTAAAATAAAAGCCACCATCCTCCTCCGTAAGTCAATTTTAGAGCGGCCGAGTGGGCCGATGCGGGGCCACCAAACTGAGGTGAGACGTGGCTAGTAATTGCAAACCGCCATAGAAATCAATATCTTAAGACGTACCATATGGGATGATTACTCTGAAGCTGGAGTGAAAGCATGAGTAGATTGCAAGAAACGAAATGCACATATTGGTTGAATTATGTACAATAGGCACAGCTCAGATGAAGCCATTTCTATGATGTTGATATATGACATAACCCTTCCTCTCCTCACCTATGACCTAAGTGCATTGGCAGTTACCGGCAGTTTTTGAGCACGAGTGTAATTCGCCATCGGACCGCAATACATGTTGCCAGGCTGCTGCAATTACAACGAACATACGAATAATGCCTTCATTTGTAGGCGTTTGTTTTTTAGGCGGTCTTTGACGTGCAAGGGGGGCGGGGGCATACCTGTCGACAACTTGAGTTTCTCCGAATTTCAAAAACTCCCAGAATTTCAATTCCTTATGCACTGTTGTAGGTACAGCTATGTTCACAAGTTTTCGTTTCCTCCTGTTCTAAAAAGGATGATATTTGTCGATTTCGTGCGTCGCTGATAGGAGGGTGCGTTTAATAATTAGGCCCAACGCTTTCTGCATCCGCGAGTACCTTCAAAAGGGAACAACAGTTTCCATTTATTACACTATGGGACATGTGACAA